TCAAGCGGCGGGGGCGCAGGGGGCGCGCTGGCCGATGGGCGAGGAGGAGCTCCGTGCCGAAATACAGCGTTCGGGGCGGAGGGGGCGCGTTGGATGGTGGGGGAGGAGGGGGACGGGCGCGGAGCCGGTGCCGTGCCGAGATGAAGGGGCGGGGCGAGACCGGCGCGCTGGCTGGTGGTGGGAGAGAAAATAATCCCACCAGCCCTCTGGGCGTAGGTGGTCTAGAACAGATCCTCTTCCACCCCTCCCTCTTCCCCCTTGGGGAGGGGTTTACCCCTCCCCCTACCCCCTCCCCTGGACCTGGACGGAGGGTTCCCCGAGCGGTCGGACGGCTCTTTTGGCCCCAAGATGGCTTCAAGAGCGCGTCAGAGAGTCCAAGATGAGCTCCAAGATGACTCAAGATAGCGCAAGATCGCTCGAGATGGCTCCTAAGACGGTTCCAAGAGGCCCAAAGACGGCCCCAAGACGGCTCCAAGTGGCCAAAGAGCTCCGCAAGGAGGCCCCGAAGAGGCCCAAATCGTCCCAAAACCTTAAGAAAATCAATGTTTTCTGCTTTCTCCCCGTTTCGCTTCCGATGGCCATCCAAGGCCTCAAGATGGCTCCAAGATGGCCCAAGAGGGCCCCACAAGAGGCCCAAGAGAGCCCCAAGACGGCCCCAAGAGCGCCCCAAGAGGCGATGTTTGGAGCTCCTGAGGGGGGAGGCTAATTAGGGAGCCCCCCTTCGTTAATCGATCTCCTCCAAGATGGCCCTAAGAGCGCCTCTACAGCCCCCAAGAGCGCCCCAAGAGGCGCCCAGACGGCCCCAAGAGGCGCCCAAGAGGCCTCCAAGAGGCTCCCAAGAGACCCCCAAGAAGCCTCAAGAGGATCTCCGAAATGCATTTAAGGCGTTTCTGGCTCTTCGATTCGCCGTCCTCTTCAATTTCTCATCCCCCTCTTCCTCCTCTTCCTTCTCCTCCTTCTCCTCCTTCTCCTCCCTCTGCTCCTTCTCCTCCTTCTCGTCCTTCTCGTCCTCTCCCTACTCCACATCCTCCTCCTCGTTCTCCTCCTCGTTCTCCTCCTCCTCCTCCTCCTCCTCCTCCTCCTCTTCCTCCCCCCCCCCCCCTCCGACGAGGATTCCTTCTCCATCCTCCCCCTCTTGGGGAACGTGACAGCTTCCCCCGCCCTGTGTTATTCTGCATGCTCCCCGACTTCCCTGATCACCTCAACTCCCCTGGGCATCGTTTCTGGATGGGCTGGTGGGGATACGCTAAGCGTCAACAATTGGGTTGGCCGTGGAGAGGGGGAAAAGGAGGCGCGCGGCGCCGGTGCCGTGCCGAAATGAACAGTGGGAAACCGACCCCAGCGCCCACAACTATGGATTTTACATGTCAACGTTTTGCATTTATGGCGAACGCGCGTAAGTTTAGGCGCCCTGTAGGCGGGCCATTGCCAGCTGCCGCAAGGGGGCCCCGCGCGCGCGGCGACGTCCTGGGCCCACTCGACGCGCCTGCGCCCGCGCCGGCATTCCTGGGGCCGCGCGTGCCACGGCCGCGGCATGCAATTTGCGGCGACGGCGGCGCTGTCCCTCGCACGGCAGCGCCGTTGGCCCAGCCGAGGGCCGCCGCCCCCGCCTCCGTCGCCCCCTCATAACCCTGCCGACGGAAAACTTTAGATCGGGGGCGCTTCTCTCAAGGCAACTGGTCCAACAAGGATTTGGGGGGTGTTTACATAAACCAGATTTCTTGTTTATATAAACCTTTCGGGGCTCTCCAGCGCGAGATTTTCCACTTCGGAGAAGTTTAGCTCGATTTTGAATTGAGTTTATAGAACCTTTTTTCGCCTGATGCCTAAACTTTGGTTTCTAGGTGAATCTAAATTTGTCGATGCGTTCCCGTGCGCGGCGGGCCCGGGGCGCCGTCCGGGGCTGTTGCCAGCGCCGCCACGGGCCGAAACGCCCCATGTTTTTTGCCCCGGCACGAGCGCGTGAACGCCCGCAATGGAATTGGGCATTGAACGCGTGTCAGCACAAGGCAACGCCAAGTTCAAATGCCGATGAGCCTAGCAGCAGCGCGCCGCGCGCATGGAATTGCGCTGCATTGTCGTTGGCTGACCGTCGAGCAGTTTCCGCTTGCAGTTCACGTGTCGTTTGATGGTCGACTTGGTCTTAAGTCCTAATGTGGGGGGCAGGGGCCGATTTTCATGCGCTCGCGAAGTAAAGGGGGCGGGGCGGAATGGGCGCCGTGGTTGGCGGGAGGTGGGGGGGGGCCAGCTGCGGAGGGGGACCGGGACGGATCGGTGCCGTGCCAATATCAATGGGTCAGGGCGGACTGGGCGCGGTGGCGGCTGCAGAGAAGGGCGGACAAGGGACTGGTGCCTTGCCGAAATAGAGTGGTGGGAGCTGTGGGTACGCTACCCAAGACAATAGTGCACTGCTTACATCACGTAGCCTACATCACAACGCCCACAGTAAAAAGAATGACTGTTCGGGGTCCGCGCTGGCAATCCTTCAATATTGAGGGTTGATGATGATCGAGGACTTGAGACCGGCTGACACACCACGCAGCGGATTGGCAGAAGACCGAGGG